CCCAGGTTCGAATCCCAGCACCCACATGGCAGCTAACAACTGTCCATAACTCCAGTTCCAGGGGATCCAACAGCTTCTGTCCTCTGTGGGCATTGCACAACACATATACACTTACCTACATGCAGGCAATATATGCATACACATAAATAAAAATAATAAAATATTTTAAATAGTTAAAAAAAAAACAGATGTAGGGGCACATGTCTGTAATTCCAGTGCTGGGGGTGAAGGGTGGTTGGAGACAGGTGGATCCCTGGTCTCACTGGCCAAACAGCACAGCCTAATCAATGAGGTTCAGGCCAAGAAGAAACCCTGCCTCAAAAAAGGACAAAAGGTAGATGATGTCTGAGGGAATGGCACCTGAGGTGGTTCTCTGGCCTCCACACACATGTGCATACACACATGCACACACACAAAATACTGTGTGAGGAATGGGAAATGACTGTTCTGGACCGTTCCAAGGAAGGTCATGTGACACTTAGGTGTTGACAGTTCATCAGGAAAACAAAGGGTGGAGAAATGCACATGCCAGAGCCCTGCCTGACCCAGGCCTGTCTGTCCTCCCATCCCGCAGGAGTCAGCCGAGACCAGCCCTGTAAGGTAGGCTGCACTTGCTCTTCCTGCTTACTCCGGGCCCCCACCATCAGTGACTTGCTCAACGATCAGGATTTACTAGATGTGATCAGGATAAAGCTGGATCCCTGTCACCCTACCGTGAAGAACTGGAGGAATTTTGCCAGCAAATGGGGCATGCCCTATGACGAACTGTGCTTCCTGGAGCAGAGGCCACAGAGCCCCACTCTGGAGTTCTTATTTCGCAACAGCCAGAGGACTGTGGGCCAGCTGATGGAGCTCTGCAGGCTCTACCATAGGGCCGATGTGGAAAAGGTGCTGCGCAGGTGGGTGGATGAGGAATGGCCCCGGCGGGGGCACTCAGACCGCTCCATGCATTTCTAGAGCCCCATTCTGGCACTGACCAGCATGGGCAGAGTATGCAACTGCCCTTACGATTTTCAAATGAGGACATGGGATGGGCAGTGATTGTCCTGAAGCCAGTGGCTTATGGACGGATGGATTCTGTTTTGGTGGAAGGTATTTGTTTCCTTTTGCACATTTAATTTAATATTTGAACCTGGAATTTGGAAAGTATTTTATAGACTTACGCAGGGGCTGAAGCCTAAGGTTGGGTTTTTGTTTCATTTTGTTTTGTCTCTTCATGGCCCCTGCTAGCCTGGAACTCGCTATGTAGACCAGGCCAGCCTTGATCTCACAGAGATCTGCCTGCCTCTGCCTCCCGAGTGCTGGGACTAAAGGCATGCGCCACCACACCTGGCATGAAGCCTATAGTTGGAATAGAATCATGCCAGGCTGGAAATAAAGCGACCCTCTCCTTAAGTACTGCTGAAGACTGCAGTGGGATCCAGACTGTGGATGACTCTGGTCATGTCTACATCATCCCGTGCAGGACCCTTCAAGACCAGCACATTCCTGGCTTTGAGGAAGCTGGCGTAGAGGAGTCACCCTGGTCTGTCCACTGTTGCTTTATAAAGTGCTTAGATTTGTGGGATGCTGTGTGTGGCCCGAAAACAAATGCCACGTTTTTTATCCAAGTGCCTTTGTAATCTATGGTCAATTTATGCTGTCATTTGCTTTAGTATCATTTTTAAAAGAAACATCAAATTTGATGGTTGCTAGGAGGGCAGAGTGGGTTAGTACACACCATGGTCACGGCAGTGGCAAAGGGCAGTTCTCAAAGTGCCTTTGTGGGGCTGGAGAGCTGGCTCAGTGGAAAGTGCTTGTTGTGCAAGCATGAGGAGTTTGGACCCCCAGAACCTCATTAAGGAATGCTGGGTGGGTATGGTGTCCAACCTGTAATTCCAGCACTCAAAGGGCAGAGACAGGTTCCCCAGAGCCAGTGGCTAGCTAGACTAACCAAACTGGTGAGCGCTGGGGTCGGGATAGAGACTGCCTCGATGAACAACGTGGAGAGTGGTCAAGGAAGTCCCTCAACATCAACTTTGGGACTCTACATGTACACGTACACCTACACACACATATGCAACCACACACATGCAAACATGCATATGTATACACAGGCACACACATGCTAAAAAAATCAATACCCTTTTGTGAGGCTGGAGAGATGGCTCTGGGTAAAGTACTGGCTGTCAAACCATGAGGATCTTAGTTCAATCACCAGCGCCCACATAAAAGCCAGGCATGGTCACACATGCCTACAATCCCAGTACTTGGAAGTCAGATTCAGGTGCTCTCTGGCCAGCCAGTCTAATCAAATTGGCAAGCTCTGGGTTCAGTGAGAGACCCTGTCTCAAAGAAGATGGAGGGGCTGGAGAGATGGCTCAGGAGTTAAGAGCACTGGCTGCTCTTGCAGAGGACCTGGGTTCAGATCCTAGCATCTATATGTAACTCCAGTCCAGGGAATCTGATGTCCTCCTCTGGCTTCCATGGACATTGCACAACATGAGTGCACTTCTCTCTCTCTCTCTCTCTCTCTCTCTCTCTCTCTCTCTCTCTCTGTTACCCATGCCTTTTTTCTGTGCTAGAGAAATAACTGAGGGCCTTGCACATCTAGGCCAGGGCTCTGCCACTGAGTCCATCCCCAGTCCCTCTATCATGATCTTTTTTTCTTTTTTCTTTTTCGAGACAAGGTCTCATGTAGTCCAGACTGGCCTCAGATTCCCTGTGTAGTTGAGGATGGCCTCATTCCTGATCTTCCCAGCCTCTCTCTACCTCCCGAATACTAAGATTGTAAACATGCATGGCCAACACCCAATTCAGCCATGATTTTTTTTTTAATTTTACTTTTTCTATAAGGCCGAATGCTTCCTTCCTTAAGATGAGACTCAGATAACCAATAAAAATTGCCTGGTCCATTGGTATCTATCTTTAGTTTCTGTTGTGCCCGCTGAAAACAAGATGCAGTGATACTGTGGTGCAGGTGAGTCAAGAAAGGAAGGCATGAGGTTGGTGCTGGGGGGCAGGGTTGGCACTGGCATCCTAATTCATAAGGATCTTAAACCAAATGAAAAACTGGATTCGAAGAACACCTGATGTTATTTGGTCATTTGTGGGGGTGGGCAAGTGTGGGATCAGGAAGGTCTGTCTTGGAGAGGTGGGATTTACTAGGTGTTTGGGGAGAAAAGACCGAAGATGGGGCCTTGGTTTGGTTAAAGACTCTGTGGAAATGTTGTTTGATGTTGATCATGGACTTTGAAAGTCATCCCCTCTGCTTAGTTCATGAATATCTGTATTAGTCTCTGATTAAAACAAGCTAAAGTGGTCTGGGGAGATAGCTCAGTCTAACTCATGAGGAACCCACGTAAAAAGCCAGGCACAGGGATGTGCACTTGTAATCCCAGTGCTGGGAGGTAGAGACAGGTGATACCTGGGGTTCACCTCCAGCCAGCACAGCCTGCTTGGAGAGCTACAAGCAAGCGAGACCCCCTGTCTCAAAAAAATAAGGTAGATGCTGTTCTAAGATTGTCTTCTGGCCTCTACATGCACATGCATACACATGAATTAAATGTTAAAAAGCTCAGAGGAAGAATAACATTGACTCATACAGCAGAAATATCAAGATTAACTGAAAAGAAAATTTTCTAAGCCACCGTTTTTTCCTGGTAACCATTACAGCAGTTTTCCCGGAGTTACTGATAAAGTCCGCTTCCCACCCAGACTGAACTTTAAGCAACAGTCTACTGCAATTTGCTCATGGCTTTTGCTTCTTTATTAATCACACCCTGCTCATCTTCCCCGCTCAGATTGATCAGACATATGTTCGACCAGATGTATTTAAATACCAGATGGTGATAAAATACAGAACTTGCTTTAAAATAGTTTCTCTGGAAAAATCATATGTTCTCTGTATCATGGGCCTGGACCAGGCTCCCAGCAGGGCCTGTCAGCAGTGTTCCACAGAGGTGCCTGGATGCCTGGCATTTTCCTTAAGCTGTCCATGACTGACTGTTCTCTGGCTGGGTCTCTCAGTCCACACTGCTCACAAACTCACTGTGTAGCTGAGGATGACCTTATATGTCCGCTTCTCCCGCCTCTACCTCTTGAACTCGGAGATCGTAGGTATGAGCCACCAGATCTGGTGTTTGTGCTCATTTCTTATGAGAAGGGCCCTGAGCATCATTTCGTGCAGCTGCAGGAAGTGGACTCTGGAAGGTGATGATGGAGCATAGCAAGGTACCAACGTTAGTGTCCCATCACCCCTAGGGGCTGAAAGCAGTAACCCCAGGCTGACCTGTGTCATGTTGACAGTCTGGCCGCTT